AATATGATGTGCATCGCACACTGATATCAGGCAACCACTAATGTATTTTCTGCCTATATGACTCTGTTCTGGACACTATGTAAACAGTTTTTGTAGGGTTTTTTTTTTTAGTTATACATTACCCCCTCACTTATTGTATGACAGTATTGTAATTAGTTTCTGAGTTTAGCCCACTACAATAAAATAAATCAAGAACAGTCTAAAACTTAACTTGCTGGTATTTATCCATGTAGATAGAACTATTCCTTTTTTTGTTTTGTTTTGTTTTGTTTTGTTTTTTATACCGGGGATTGAACTTGGGTCCTTGTGCTTGCAGGGCAGGCCACCGAACCGCTGAGCTAAATCCCCGGCCCACTATTCCGTTTTTATGTACATAATGGGAGTGAAATTGATGTGACTGTCATGAGGGTGAGTTGACCGTATGAACAAAGTTTTATAGGTGTTCATATTTAACTCAGCTGCTCTCTTTTGGTCATCTCTTTAAGGGGGAAAATTAAACAGATTTTACTTGTCCGCTGAGTATAATTTAATTTTGCATGCTGTCCTTCGCTTGTCTCATGTGATTTTGAGTGACCCGGCAGTCCCATGACCCTGTCACAGCAGTGGGACGGTTTCAGCTCTTGGGCTGTGATGACCCGGCCACAGCTGCCTCTGACTCAAGCATTCTGAGTCTTTTTTGAAACTTACGAGAATACTGAGAGGGGAAGGGTCACAGCCTGTAAAGCTCCTTTGTCTAGGTCACTGGTGTCTACTTTCATCATCATGTGACTGAGCCAACACAGAGCCAAACAAAAAGTGGACCTGAGCAGTGGAGAGAGTGAGACCCTGAAATGATGCTCCAGAGACACCATCTGTATCCCAGGTCCAGCCATGCCTGAAGCTAGCACATGACTTGTCTTCCTGTCATGAAACAAATACATTTTCTGTTTTGAAAGCAAGGTTGAATTGAGCTTCTATTCACTTGCACCCTGAAGTATTCTATGTGACCCAAAAAAGTAATGTTTATAATTATTTTTTAATGATAGCCTTTAGGAGATAGAATTCACATACCATAACATACCATTGACCCATTTAACTTGTAATTCACTGGTTTTTAGTGTACTCACACATAGTGCAATCGTTACAACAGTCAGTTGTGGAACATTTTCACTACTCTTAAAAGCCCCTATACCAGCACTATCAACTCCATTTTTCCTGATTATATTAGCCAGCTTTCTCATTGTTAGATACAATCCTGGACACTCAGTTTAAAGGAGGAGTGGTTTTATTTAACTCATGTTTCAGGAGATTCAGTTCGTGGTCTGTAGTCTTGAAGGCAGGAGGTCATGGCAGGAGAATGTGGTGGAGCAAAGGTTTTCAGGTCACGGTAGTTGGGAGGTACAGTGGGGAGCAACACCAGAGATGCATAGGTGAGGGACCATATATAGGACCAAGACTACACCTTTACATCTCCGTGCTGTCCAGACACACCCAGGTGTGTGTCTACTAATTTGATAGGCGTTTCTTAATCCAGTGAAGTTGACATATCAAGGTCAACAGTCACACTGGTACTCAGGCAACCGCCAGTGTGCTTTCTTCTGTATGACTTTGCCCATTGTGGTCGCTTTATATGAACGGGGTCATACAGTAAGTGGTCTTTTGTGACTGGTTTCTTTGGTACAATATAACATTTTAAGGTTCACTTAAGTTATTGCCTGTATCAGTGCTTCAGTACTTTGTGTGGCCAAGCAGTGTTCTTTGTATGAACATGCCACATTTTGTTTCTGCATTCATCACTTGATAGACATTTGGATGTTTTCTACTTTTTGCTGTCATGGATAATATAGCTAGAAGAATTCGTGCACAAGTTTTTTTTCCCCATTAAGTTTATTGGTACATTTAAAACAAACAATACAGTTTCATTACCATTGGGATCTTGTACCTTTACATGTCGTGCACAAAGTTTTACGTGGACATCTATTTTCCTTCCTCTAGGGGTATATATATCTGGCAGTGGAATTGCTGGGTCATGTGATAATTACATGTTTGAGCATTCGGGGAGCTGTCAGACTTTAACGCAGTGACCTCACCGCTTTACCATTGGTAGTGCATGAGAACTCCAGCTTTTCACATCCTTGCCAACACTTGTTATTATCTGACATTTTCATTGTAGCCAACCTAGTGGACATAAAATGATTCATCATTGTGGCTTTATGCTAAGCCCGATGGCTAATATTGTGTGCATCTTTTCATGTGTTTGTCAGCCATTTGTGTATCTTTGAAGAACTGTTTACATCTTTTGTCTATTTTGAGTTGTTCATCTTTTTATTGAGCTGTAAGTGTTCTGTATGCAAGTTCTTATCAAATGCATGGTTTGTGAATGTTTTCTCCTGTTCTGTGGGCTTTCTACTTTTAAAAAATTATTCCCAGTGCTGGGGATTGAACCCAGCACTTCACGAATGCTAGGCCAGCTTTCTACCCCTGAGCCACAACCGCATCTCCACTCTTGATGGTGTCCTTTGAAGCACACAGGTTTTTACTTTTAATTAAGTCCAGTTTAATTCTCCCTCCCTTCTTTCCACCCTTCCATCCTGCCTGCCTGCCTGCCCGCCCTCCTTCTTTTCAATACAGGGGATTGAATCTATAGGCTTTTACTGAGCTGCAGTCCTAACCCATTTTTTATTTATATTTTTTAAGAGTGGATCTTGCTAAGTTGCCCAAGAGGGACTGAAACATGCATGGTCCCGAAGCGCTGGGATTACAGGCATGTGCTCCTGTACCTAGCTCTTTTGTTGCCTTTTTTTTTTGCTTTGAAATTTATTACCAAATCTGAGATTGTGAAGATTTACCTGTGTGCTTTCGAGATTATTTTGACTATTCATAGTCCTTTGCCATTCCATATGAATTTGAGAATCAGCTTGATAATTTCTACAAAGAAGCAGCCCCCATTCCAATAGAGGTTGCATTAAAGCATTATTCATTTGAGGGAATATTGCCATCAATAGTCAATATTCAATCCATGGACATGGGAAGATGAGGATTTTTTCCATCTATTTAGATCATATACAATGATGTTCTTTTTACAGTTGTTAAATCTTTTCACTGTTGTTAAGTCTGTTCTTGAGTTGTTTTTTGGGGGGCAGAGAGAGCAGTGCTAGAAATCAATCCAGGGGCTCAAGCCTATTCTTTTAAAAAATAATTAATTAATTAATTAATTAATACCAGGAATTGAACTCAGGACCTTGCGCTTGAGAGACAGGTGGTAGAACCACTGAGTTAAATCCCCAGTCCTTAAATACATTTTAAATGAAATTATTTTCACTGTTTCATTTTAAGTTTTTCATTGCAAGAGCAAAGAAATAGAATTTATTTTTGTATACTGATTTTGTATCCAGCAACCCTAAACTCTTCTATTAGTCTAGTCGTTTTTTCTAGTTGATTCTTAGTTCTTTTTTCTGTGTACAAGATCACGTCATCTATGAATAGAGATAGTTTTGCTTCTTTTGTTCCAATCTGGATACCTTTTTTTTTGTTTTGTTTTGTTTTTGGTACCAGGGATCAAACTTGGGACCTTGTACTTTCAAGGCAGGCAGTGGAATCACTGAGCTAAATCCCCGGTCCCCAGTCTAGATACCTTTTATTTCTTTTTCTTGAGCAGTTGTCATAGCCAGAGCTAGAATCTCTAAGAGAATGTTGAAATGATGAGAGCAGACATCATTATTTTTTCTATTTTGAGACAGGATCTCCCTCTGTAGTTCAGACTGGCCTTGAACTCACTGTGGGGGCCCAGGCTGACTTCAAACTCATAGCTATCTTCTTGTCTCAGCCTCCTTAGTGCTAAAATTATAGACATGTGCCACCATTCCTAGTGAGAGCAGATATCCTTTTCTTGTTTTTTTATTTTTGGCAAAAAGGAAAAGTATCCACATTAAATGTGTTATGTAATTTAATATAATGTTTGAATACGATAGTAACTGTGAGGTACTCATAGATGCTTTTTCTCAGATGGAGGAAATTCTCTTATTTGTTTGTTTGTTTTGTTGGTATTTTACCGTGAAAAGGTATTGGACTTTGTCACATGAGGTTTTTGCATTTATTTAAATGACAATGTGGAGTTTTTAATAATGTGCAGTATTATATTAACTGATTTTTTTGGTGTTAAGTCAGCCTTGCATATCTGGGATAGATCCAATATGGCCTTGATATGTAACTATTTTTATATGTTGGTGGGTTCATTTGCTAATATTTTGTTAAGGGTCTTTATGTCCCCATTCATAAGCATATTGATCTGAGTTTTGTTGTGATTGCTTTGGCTATGAAGTCAGGGTAGTGCTGGCTCCTAGAAGGAGCTTGGAAGTGCTGCTCTTCTGTTTTTTGGAAGATCTGGTGTTCCTTTCTAAATGTTTGACAGAATTCAGCAATGAAGCTGTCTGGATCCGGGGCTTTTTTGTAGGTAGTTTTATTATCATTATTATTATTATTAATCAAATCTCCTTGCCAGCTCTCTATCAGTTCATAAGTTTTTGAGGTATTTTTGGGTAGTTTCTGTCTTCCTAGGATTTTATCTGTTTTATCAGCATAGAGTCATCACTTTGTTACCATTACCATTTTTATATCTAAGGTTGGCAGGAATGTATCCTGTTTTCTGATTCTAGCATTTTTCTTAGTCTAAACTAAAAGTTTAACAATTTTTCTAATCTTTTGAAAGAATGATCTTTTGGTGTTACTGCTTTTTTGTTTTTATTTCTTAAAATTTTGAGAGCATTTTGCTATGTAGTTCAGACTGGCCTTAAACTCACTATGTAGTTTAAGTTGGGTTCAAACTCATGGTTATCCTCCTGCCTCAGCCTCCTGAGTGCTGAGATTACAGGTGTGTGCACCACCACACCCGCCTTGATTTTACTGATTTTTCAAAATTGTTTCTCTGTCATAATACTGTCCTCATACGAAAAAAAACCTCATTTTTAAATTCGTTTTAAGTATTTTGAAATGTTATCTGAGTGTTGTATTTGTTTGTTCAGATTCTCATATGCTTAACACTGAAAATCATTTGAGAGAAAATGTCGGAAGTGACTCCGAGCTGCTGACCAGTGGAAAGTGTGACCGGAGGAGGCATGGCGGTGTTGAGCAGGCCACTCAGACGAGCATAGAGACCCTGGGGCCGGCTCCCTCAGCGCTCCTTCCTGAGTGCACCTCTGACACCACAAGGGAACAGGTACCGCGAAACCTAATGCAGATTCCACTTCAGCAGTGGAATGGAACTGAGTGTTTACTTATTCATATTAAGTATATTGAGTCACCTGTTGTGCACTGTGCTAGAGGCTGTCTTTCCTTATGGTGTTGAGCAAGATAAACAAAAGCACTCATTTCTTCTGCCTTCCTGCAGTGCTGTCAATATTGTAAATTTCTTTTTAATTCTCCAGATTTTTTCCACTTTTTCAAAATTAATATTCAAGGGTGTATATAATAGTTTTTTGCTTAACATTGTAGCAGTTTTTCATATCGCTCCATTTGCTTCGTATTCAATTTTAATGGCTGAGTAATATAGATGTGGCTGTATTATCATTTCTGAACCTTCCTCTTAACATTTGCTAACATTCAGGTTGCTTCTGGGTTTTTGTTCTGGTTTGTTTTTTGTTTTTGTCATTATAAACAAAATGTTCAGCAGAATTTTAATTCACTCTTATAGAACCCCAGGATGAATTCATTCATCTGTTCATCAGGAATTTATTGGATGACATTTCTGAATGAGAAATACATATAATTGAGCAGTATACTGGCTCTGTGTACTGAATAACTTAAAGTCTAGTGGCACAGAGAAGCATGTGCAGTCGGGTCACAGTGTGCTGTGCTATGGGGTTGGGGAGGTAGAGGCAACTACTGTACCTAACTCATCTATACGGCAGGAAGTGTTGACTTGGGACTAAAGTCTGAGAACTCTTTGGAATTAAAGATCTGTATTTTAATGTGTCGATTAAGTAAAAAATCCTTAGCTTTATTATATACTTCTACTTAAGGGTTAGGGAATGAATGGCTCATTAATGGCTTTAAGAGGAAAGAATACTTGATATGTTTTAAAGGGAAGGGAAGACCTCTCGGCCAGCCAGAACGTGTCTGACGGGATATTCCTAATGAGCCTGGAGCTTAGGAGAGAGGGTGTATAGGTCACAATTTCTATGACAGAGTAGATGAGCCACGGAAGTAGCTAAGATTATCCAAGAGAGTGACTCAGATGACGAGAGAAGGCCGGGATTTAGCTCAGTGCTTCTGCCACTTGCCTCATGAGCGCAAGGTCCTGAGTTTGATCATCGGTACCAAAAAAAAAAGGAGAAGACAAACTATGAAGTCTGATAGAACATGAAAATCCAAGGATTCTTAAGAAAAGATGAAAGGAACATTGGTTGGAGAGACAAGCATGAGAAAGATACAGCATAAAAACCAGACAGAGGGGCTTAGAAAGAAGTGGGAGGTCAGCCACAGAGAGTTAAGATAGCGAAACAGTCACTACTAAAATGCAAGCTAGCAGTTTGAATCCCTGGATCAAAACTTAGGAACATTTTTAATTGTGTGACAGTATTTCCAAATAGCTTCTCAAAGCAATTTGAAATTTAAGTGAACCCTCACTGGCGTGGGGTGTTTTTACTATCCCAACTGGCACACTTTGGGTGCTATATAAAATAGAATGTATTTCCTGGAAATTATTCAATATTTTTATATTCCAAATTTGTCTTTTCAGCTCATGGAAGAGAATGAGTCTCTCAAGCAGGAACTGGCCAAGGCTAAAATGGCTCTTGCAGAGTGTCACTTGGAAAAAGATGCACTTCTTCATCAAATAAAGACGATGACAAGTGACTAACGGGAGTGGGCCTCGGAGCTCCGATTACAGCTCAGGAGGAGGAGGGCTGTGTTTCTGATGTTCCTGTTACCAGTGAATGGAGATTCTCCTTCCGGGAAATCAAAATGCCATGGGATGTGGTGACTCCAAAGGTGGCTCCCCAAAGCCAGTTTGGAAGGTGTTAGGTACGAACGTTACAGTCTTCAGTTACTTTGTGTTTGGGGATTCAACCCTTTTTCAAACTGGTGTTATCTAGGGAAGTCAGCACATACTGCAGAGTAACTATATGCTTACTGATAACCAGATGTCACTTCCTAATTTTGATAATGTCATTATAAGAATCTTTTTAAAGAAAAAAACCTGTTGTGTTCACATGAATTACTGAATTTATTTCTCAGTATTTGTTAATAATTTACTACTCTTTACAGAAATTCAAATGCTTTTAGGGCTCATGTAAAATAAAAAGGAAGCTTAGATTTTAAATGTTATTAAAATTATGTTCTTAAATCTATAATTACCATAAAAAGTCCAATCAAATTAATAAATTTATGATTAATAAGTTTAAGAACTCTGAAAAACCTTCACCCTACTGAACTTATTAAAGCAACTTGAAAATGTGAAAAAAGTCATGCTAGATGATGGGTAAACTATGTAAGTGGGAGCTCTAATTTCCAATAAAAAGATGGTACAAATGTAAAAATAAAAAGCACAAATATTAGCCTAGTCAAGTGATTTAAAAAGCATTACTTGTACATTCCTTAAACATTTATTATTAAAGTAAAATTAACTCATTCTAAATTTGGCAGCATTTGTAATTATAAAAATTTTAATTAGTACTATTTGTACTATTTCTTTACCTTTATCATTCCTTTTTAAGAAGAATGTTTTCGGGGAATTTCTCTTTCACATACTTAAAATAATTTCACACCATTCCTGTAGTATCATATTAGGTCGGTGTTTGCACATACTGAATTTATAAAGCCAGTTTTGATTAAAGCTCTATGTGATATATACATACATACAATTTTAATTAGTACTATTTGTACTATTTCTTTACCTTTATCATTCCTTTTTAAGAAGAATGTTTTCGGGGAATTTCTCTTTCACATACTTAAAATAATTTCACACCATTCCTGTAGTATCATATTAGGTCGGTGTTTGCACATACTGAATTTATAAAGCCAGTTTTGATTAAAGCTCTATGTGATATATACATACATACACATAATGAGAGAGAATCATGCTTTATGAATATAAAAGTATATGAGAGTTTAAAAGCAGGCTTTGAAGATCTAAAATATATTTCTGATAGAATTAAACTAAGTGGTATCTATTTTATAATTCACATTCTTAAACATAAATATATCCAAGTTAGAGCATAAAACAACTAGACTGCTCTTTTTGTGTTGTTTTTTTAAAGGTACTTGAAAATTCTGGACCACATTGCCACACTTCATGGTGCTTTGCTTACGAAGCTGTCCCTGTACTGAGTGCTTGGGGGGAAATACTCATCTTGTTTACATTAGGTGTTGGAGCCTTAGGTTTTGTTGAAAACAGTTCTGGCCTTTTTTTCCCTCCTACATCATCCATTGTCATTGACATTACTTAAAAATACAGGGACTGTTGGGGGAGCTGAGGATATAGGCAAGAACAAATTAAATTGTTGTTATTTTACCACAGAGTGTTTTAAAAATCATGCTTACCTAAAAGTGTACATTACTTGTAGGTTAAACACAGAGGTCTAATTAAAGGTTTAAAGTGTATAGCTTAAGTAGACAGCTTTTGATTTGTAGGTATATACTTAGCAAAAGTAGTGTCTATTACAGAAAAGAAGGATTGACAGGACATTAGCTTCTTCTGAGCTGATAATGTTTCTATTGCCTTGTTCTATATAAATTAAAATTTTTTCTGTGGTATATAATAACTGCTCAATGTTATGGAAACTGAATGTTTTCCTTATTCTTTTTTAAATGTATTTGACCTTCCCAAGAAAATCCTATAAATAAGAGTTGATAAAATTCTGAACATTCTATATGCTTTATTTGATTTTTTTTTAAAAGAATACTATTTTCACAGAGGTTGAAAATTTGTAACAAACCTCCAAAAACATTGTGTCATGTAATATCTAACTCCTACAAGAAACTGGCAGCTTGATGTTCAGCTGCGGGAAGTCCCAGAAAGGACAAGTGAAATGACTGAAATTACAGTTAGTAACCTGGTCTTTTCACTTCTAAGCCATTTACATGCCTTTATTTTAGCTTAGTCATTAATTCACAGATTTTGCCCGGGCAAGGATAAAAGGGGGAATCATTGCCTCACCTTTTTCCTTTTAAGATGATTATATACTGGCCCCCGGCCTGCGCGACAACAGACCAGGAAGGCCCCAAAGACCCCAGAGGGGGTTTTTTTCA